TCCTGCTGGCCTTGCAATGCTCATGGCATTTCTTGGCCTTTTCACATCGCCAACCCAGGCTGACCCAGGTTTGAAGGTGGACAAAGCATGGAGCAGGCTTGGCTGAGGCTGTGGATGGAGCAGGGTCCATGTCTGCTGCTGTGCTAGCGCAGCCCCATATCATCCCTGCTGTCCCTGGGGAGATTGCAAAGGGGGGGTAGCCAGTGGAGGGGGTGTGGGACCAGTGCTGGCCTGTTCGGAGCAGCAACTCATTTGAAGGCTTGGCCTTGGGGAGGAAACAGAGGCTGCAAAGGCAAACACCTGAGTTCCGAATCCTGCCTGACCGCAGATAATCCCCTTGCACTGGGAACTGCCCATTACCCAGCCCATCTATACACAGGGGAGCCTGGATTGTCCCTCGTGTCCCCCATGTCTGTCATGTTCCATGTGCAGCCAGCTGCTGGGAGCGCAGGCATCTGCTTGCTCCCCTCTGCTGTCGAAGTTGGGCTTGTGCCTGGGGGTGTTTTTGGAGATGCTGGCATTGGGGGAGGTATGAAGTCCCGGTGTCCTGGTCAGGAGCATTCAGTCTCACACCTGTGCTGAGTGGCGGCTCCACGGTGAGGTCTGTCCCTCAGCCATGGGGCTGAGCTGCTGGCTGGCCAGTACCTGCTTTGCAGGCAAGAAGAGTTTGGGAGTAAAGGCTTCACATTGGGTTTTCTCCCATCATTGCAATACAAACTTCAGGCTCTCTCTCTGCTTCCCTGCTGCTCGGAGCATCCCTCTGCCTCGCAGCATGGCTGAGAAACATCACCCCTCATTCTGGCTGTGCAGGGAGATCTTCCTTTGTCCCACCCATACCTGTCTGCAGCCTAAAACCAGCCAAAACATTGGATTTTCCCTCTCTGACAGATGCTGGAAGCTGGGGTGGGAATTGGAATGTTCTTGCCCTGGGTTGAGTACTTACAGGGGCGACCAGCATGGACAGACCAGGTTGGTCTCCCAGTTTGCCTAAGACTATGCCCTGGAGACAGGGCTGTCCTTAACGGGGAGAACTAGACCTGGGTGGGAGCTGGGAGCTGAGCTCCTCCAGGCACTGCCTGCCCCATGCCTGTTTCCAGCTCCCAGCAGAGGGGCTTGCTGTGGCCCCCAGACAAGCTGAAGCACCAAATCCCCATGGTAGATGGGTGGAGTGAAGCTAATTTGGGTCCTGTTCCCACGGGCAGGGAGACCTGGGAGGTTCTGGGGGACTGGGGAGAAAGGCACCAAGGCAGGTCCTCATGGGCGCTGACATCTCCCTTGCCCCTGGCAGGGCTGTTGCTGCAGGAGATGACCATGGCGGGGCTACATGAGCTGCGCTTCACTGAGGAGAAGCCACTGCTGCGGGGCCAGGATGCCGAGCTGGTGAGTCTGATGACTGCAGTGGCTCTGGCTCCTGCACTTGGGGTGCCAGGACACAGGTGCTTAAGTGGGAACTTGTGGGTGGTATGCTGGTATTAGGTGCACCTGTGTGCACATGTGTGTTGGTATTCAGTGCATGTGTGTGGGCAGACATGCTGGTATTGGGTGCATGTGTGTGCAGATGTGTGGTATTCAGTGGATGTGTGTGTGCAGATGTGTGCTGGTATCGATACACATGCATGGGTGAGCACGGGTTCTGGTTTGGTGTGATGTATGTGTGTGAAGATGTTTCACGTACATGCTAATACACACTTAGTGTGCACACGTGTGGGCATCATGTCCCCCTGCAGCCAGCGCCGCCATGGAGAGTGGGTGCTTGTGGTGTCAGGGGGCTTCGTGAGCTGGGTGGGAGGAGGGCGGCACAGGAGTAAGGGGCAGCCGGGGGATGTCTCTGTCCCTAACGGCTCCTTCTCTTCCCAGGAGAACTCGGATGTCTTCCTCTCCGCTATGGACACGGACTGGAAGGTAGGACCAGCCACGGAGGGTGCCCCCCACCCCTGGGACAGCAGCCTGCGGCTGGGGAAGGCTGTGGGGCGCTGAGTAGACCCAGGGGTGTTGCTGTCCCCCAGTTCCATGGGGATGCAGTGCCTGGTCGGTGTCTTTGCATGGGGCTGCGCATCCATTGTGGTCCCCTGCAGGAGGGGATGGGGGGGTCGCTGCCAGGCATGCCCTCTGCTGGTGCTTGAATGTGGCTGGCAGGTACTTGGTGAGTGGCTGGGGACAAAACCTCTTGAAAACAGGCGAGTTCTTCTCAGGAGGGCCGAGCTGCTTTTCTAGCCTCTCTACCATTGCCATGGCAATGGTTTCCCAGGCAATGCCAGCTCCCTGCTTACATAAGGATGTTTGAAAGCCTCTTTCTTTTTTGGAGGGCTGGGGCATTGCCCCCTCTACCACCCACCTCTCTCTGAGAGCAGGGCCCCTCTGCTCCCCTGGCTGGCACCTGCCCACCTTGTACCTCTGTTTTCCCTCTTCGGAGGAGCCCCATGATATGGCCTCGGGGCTCGCAGGGGCTCAGCTCGTGCCTGGCTCCTGTGTTGGTCTCCATTGCTCTCACACTTCTGCCCAAGCTCATCCTGCACCAGGCTCCTCCTGCAGAGACCAGAGTGCTGGTAGTTGGGGAGGGAGGGTAGTGGGGCTGCTGGACCCCAGCTCACTGCCTGTCTCTCTCCCAAGGCATCCCCCCTCCCAGGGGACACCAGTGACTGACTTCAGGTTGTATGTTGCTGCTTTGCCAGCAGCTGGGAGGGTGGGCTCAGGTGGTGCTGGCTGAGCCCTGCCAGGTCTGGCACTGAAACAGCAGCACCTGCAAGGATAAAATAAATTTGGATTTCATTCATCCTGGGAGAGGGGCAGGGGAGCCTGGGTCCCCATTTTGGCAAACCCAAAGCAATGCCCAGGCTTTTGGGGCTGGCCCGCTCAGTTTCCATCACCCGTGCGGATGGCAGGGTGCAGCTGGGTGGGGAGCAAGGACTTTTGTCAGGATGCTGGGCGGTGGCTGCTGTGGTTCACAGCGTAGGAGATTTCTGGTGGCCTTCTTGGAGGCCACAAAATTATTCAAAAATGGCAGTGGTGGAAAAGAAATGCCATGCTTCCCAGCAGCTCCAAAGCTGGCAAGATGCTGGGGCCGTGAGCGGCAGGGTGTGCGGGTCTGGGCTGTTCCTTGCTCTGCTTGCTCAGGGTCTTTGTTGACCACTGGAGGGGAAACCAAACTTCCTGGTGCCACCGAAGTGAGGGTGACGAGGGAGAAGGAGGCAAGGAGGGACAGGGAAGTGGCAGTGCTGGGCTGCCTAGAGCTCCTGGTAGGGCCATGGGCACCAGTATGGCTCTTGCTCAGCTGTGCTGGGGCAGGGCTTTGTTTGGCATGCAGGGGGTGTTAAAGAGCAATGAGTCTCCCAGGACAATCTTTGCATGCCAGTATTTCAGGAATTGGCCCACAGTGACGCTGAACTGTGTCTCCCTGGTGGCACCCAGGTAGAGTGAGTCCAGACAGCAAATGCCACAGCGATGTACCTGCATGCCCTTGGTACCTAAAAAACCGAACTGGACAAGGATCAAGGCGGCTTTTTCCAAGACAGCCAGGCCCTGTGCCCTCTTGGTTCCCCTCCAAGAGCCTCAGGGTGGGGATGGAATGAGCTTCCCAGGCTGTGCTGTGGCAACCCCCTCCTTTCCCCCACCCCAGCACTTTGCAGGTTGGTTCCCTGTAAAGGCTGGGGGCTGCCTGCCCTTCCTTGGGGAGATCTTACCCCGTTTTCTAGGCTCAACTCCTTGGGGTAATTCAGTCCAGCCTACAGCTTATCTCCTCGCTGTCCCTCTGCTCCTCCCCACAGCCAGTCACTGCTTCCTTGCCCAGATGCTCTGGCCTGGCCAGGGCAGTGGAGGGGGGAGCAGGGATTCCCCACTGCCTCCATCAGCTGAAGTAAAGCCCTTGGGGCTGCTGGCATAAGCCAAGGTGCAGGAGTGCGGGGGGCCAGGTGACTCTGCCCTGGCCCTGCTGGAGGTTTGGGCCATCTGCCAGGCAGATGGGCTAGTAGCCAATGGGGCGGAAATACCATTTGATGCCATTCAAGCGGACTCAGCCCTCTTACCTCCCTGCTGCCCTTTTGCATTCATGCCTTACTTCGCCTCAGCTTTTCCACCCCTTCTCCATTTTGCCACCTTCTGTCTTTTTTCACCTGCTCATGCCCCTCTGCATCTCTTGCTTTTTCCTGGAGGTTGTGGCTGCTCATGTGCTTTGGTTCCACAGGCAGCAGGGCTGAGGAAATCCAAAATGGCACCTGGACTTGTGAACAGCTGTGTACCTGTGCCAGGAACCACCAGGGAGCTGGGCTTTGTTAGCAGAGATGCATCTCTCCAGGCTTGGATCTGAGCTCCCTGCAGGACAAAGCAGTGCAGAGGAAAGCCTCTCTGGTGGAGGCAAGGTGGATGCTATCCTGCTGCCTGTCTCTCTGTCCTTCCTTTCTCCCATGTCCAGACCCCCTGGCTGCCCAGCTCTGAGTTGTTTGCAGGACGCTGCTTTCAGTGGCTCCCCACTAGCTCTGGGTGATCATTTGTCCAGGTCAGGGAAAGGGCTGTCCCCAGGGAAAAGTGGCTCAGCCCTGTTATTAGACATCAGAGACTCCACAGGAACAAGCCTGCTGGGTGAAGCCAGGGACACAGGGCTTTGCCATGTGGGGAAGCCTGTGCATGTGGTGGTGATGGCAGCTGGATCCCTTCTGCCCATGGCTGCGGTGCATGCAGTGCATGTGGTGCATGGCGAGCTGCCAGGCTGGGGATGATGCAGAGGTGATGGCAGGCTCCAATGGTCATGGATGCTCCCTGTGGTGGGCAGTGAGGCTGAAGGGTCCCTGCTGGATGCTGCCCTGGTCCGCCACTGGCATGTGGCTCGCCAGCCCCTTTGGGCAGCTGCTGGAGGGACTGTGGGACTCTTTCTCCATCCATGATTGCTCAGCTTCATGCTGGAGTGGCACGGGTGCTGGTTGTGCTGAGCCAGGCAGCAGTGCTGGGCTGGGCAAGGGCAGGCAGGGTGCAGGGGGATGGCACCCAGAGCCTGCTGCGGGGTTTTGGGGATGTGGCGGCACGAGACTGTCCATGGGTGCGAGCTGCAGGCAGAGGGACTTGCCCTCTCGGAAGCCTTGTTGGAATCAGGGCAGAAACCACCTGCCTGCGCGCATGTGCACATGGGAATACACACACGTGTGCATGCACACACAGCAAGTGTCGCCCCAGGGACAGGATCCAACCCCTCGGTGCCGTGGGGTTGTCTTTCCTCCAGCCTTATTTACCTGCCACCAGCGACATCCAGGTTGGGGCTAAATCCTGCACATCCCCTGCATGCCAGCATCCTGCAGCAGGCAGGATGACCGTGCTGTTGGGTAAGGTAACACAGGTATTGGGGCAGTGTTCACCTGTGTACACACATGTGCCCCTCCATGCACAAGGTTCTTTGTGTGTGCAGGTCATTGTGCATCCATGAGTGATGGCCATGGCATACATGCTAAGGACATGGGAGAAGGATGCAGCAGGCATGCTCCTTATATGCATTTGACCATGCACATACATGCACAGGAATGTGTACCAACGCAGACACACAGGGGCCAGCCCCGTGGGGGTATGTGCAAGCATTTTGTGGGGTGCATGTGCTTCAGCATGCGTCATTGTAACTATTTTTCCAAAGTTTGCATGCACAGACATGTGGGTGGACACAGTTTTACCTGGCCTCTGTGTGTCTGTGTTGGTACGTGTTCCTGTGCATGTATGTGCATGGTCACGTGCATATAAGGAGCATGCCTGCTGTGTTCCTCTCCTGTGTGCTTAGCATGTACCCATGTCCATTCGTGGGTGTGTGCGTGCTTCCTGGTGCGTATGCATTGCTGCAGGGCCTTGGTCTAGGCGGTGCAGGCTCGAGCATGATTCTGCGTGTTTGCGTGGGGCCAGAGCCGCGTGTATGTGTGTGATGGGTGCAGGTGAGCATTGCTGGGCTCTGTTGTGATGATGCTGTGTGTGTTGCAAGGGGTGCGAGTGCAACCCTGTCTAGGCATCCCTGCCTGTCTCGGTCTGCTGAAGGAGGGAAGATGGAGCGGGTACCGCACAGTGCCAGGTGTTTTTTCTTCATAAACAAGAGTATTTGGGGCCAATTGGAGCATGAATAATTCCCGCGGCAGCCAATGGCTGAGTGCTGGCTCCATCGCAGTGCTCGTCTGCAATGGAGGCCAAACCTGCTGGGGCTGCGCGTCGCATTGAGGGGGAAGGGAGAGGGAGGGCTTAACGCAGGGCTGGGGCTCTGCTATAAATCGAGGCGAGGGGCTGAGCCAGCGCAGAGCTCTGCTTCACCCCAGCCTGCTGCACTGCTGTGCCCCACGCCAGGACCCTGTGCTCGGCCCACCCTGCCCTCCCATCCTCGTCCACCCGCTTCCTCACCATGCCTGAGTGCTGGGATGGGGTAGGTACCACCGTTCCCGTGCTTGCTTCCCTCCCTTCCCAGGAAGTTTTGCCTCAGTACCTCTCTGCTTGCCCAGGCTGGACCTTTGCACCCAGCAGGGCTTGGCATGGGCCAGGCAGGCGTTGGTGCAGGGGGGACCTGCTGCTGGGGAGCCCTTCCTTCCCCCAGCCCCACTGCTGCATCCCTGACGTACTGCAGGTTTCAGGGACGCGTTGTCCTTGAGCATGTCCTCCTTGAGCCCAGCGGAGATGCTGCGCCAAGGCTGAGGCTGAGTAAGCACAGCTGCAGGCTGCGCTGGGGCTGACTGCTGATGGGGGGGGCGTGCTGTCCCTTCCCCACCTCCAGAGTTGCAGTGGGAGAGGGTTTCTTGCTGTTTTGAAGCAATCCCTCAGATGCTTTCCAGCCTCTGCTGTGATGGCAACACCCGATGGCAATGGACTGGTGTGGAGAGGGGTGAGCGAGGTGGGAGCACTGCAGCGGCAAGTGGGTAACCTGGACAGGGCTGGGCTCTCTTGGGCACCTATGGGTGCTGCAACCGCCATGCCCCCTCCTTGCTAGGGCCACGGGTTGTCAGTGTCCCCCACTCCTCGCTGCCTGTATCCCCTGCATCCCCAGCCTCTCCCCCACAGTAAACATCCCTGCAGCAAAGGGCAGAGCTGTGGTACCCAGCAGTGCTGCAGAGGCTGCACCATGGGCAGGGATGTGCCTGGCTTGGCAGGCAGAGAGGGGGAGGGTAGCAGTGCTGGGGAAGGAGCCGCCACCTTGGGCATGTGATTTTGGGGTGGGATTGCAGGCTGAGCTGTTTGGGCTGTGATGGGGACCATGGGCATGGGGATGGCAAGGAGGCAGCCCTGCGCCCAGGATCAGACCACATGGATGCCTCCTGCTCTGTGACCTTGGGCCAGTCCCTTCCTCTGCCTCAGTTTCCCCATTTGTTGTTGCGGGGGGATGTCCCTACTCATTGCCTGCTGGCTGATACAGCCCCGGGGAGTGGAGGGACAGCTGTAGATGAGGCCTGGGTTTGGGGTGCCCTTGGGGAGCCAAGCATTGTGTCCACAGAGCCCTTGAGCTACCCTCAGGCACTGCATCCCCCTGGGGACAGCAGATCTTGGTAAGGGGAGGCACTGCAGCGAGGAGACCCTGTCGTCAGGTGGTTCTTCCTATCTGAGGCCCATGTCCTTCAGAGTCCTTGGTGGCGCGTAACCCACGGGAGCATCCACATACCTGCTCCCCTCCTGCCAGCCCATCCATGGGGCTGCCAGTACCTGCAGTGAGGACCGCGCCAGTTGGGCAGCCTGCCAGCATCCCCTGCCTGACCCTGTTCAGCATGTGATGCTCCTGCACCCACCAGATCCCAGCTTCGAGGTCACTGCCAGTGGGCTGGCTAGCAGGCATGGGCATCTGGAGGGGACCTCTGGTCCCTTGTCCCCAGCTGATGCCTTGGCCAGCACCTGGGCTTGCAGCCTCAGTTTCCCTTGCTGGCTGGGGATGATGACTGTGAAGGCAAGGCTGGAGCCCTCCCAGCCAGGGAAACTGAGGCACGGGGCAGTTCTGATCTCTGTATGGGGGCACAGCCATTTCAGACCAAGGGATTTTAAAGTTACTTTAGCTGTCATTTTGGGATCAGGCTGCAGCATTTCCTGGGCTGGTGTCCATGGTCTGACCTCTGCCTGTTTGTCCCAGGCACAGTGAATCCAGGCCAACTGGGCCATGCTGTGATCCCCCACCCCGTTGCCAAAACTCCCTCAGTCCCAGGCCTTCAAAGATCTCCTTTCCAATCCTGTGGTCCACCTGTTCTGTCCCATGATCCTTCTCTCCCAAGCCCTCTTGGATCATCCCATGCCATGCCATGCCATGCCATGCCATGCCATGCCATGCCATGCCATCCCATCCCATCCCATCCCTCTATCCCTTGATCCCATCCTGTGATCCCATCCCATAATACACCTGTCCAATCCTAAATCCTATTTTCCCTTCCCTTCCCTTCCCTTTCCTTCCCTTCCCTTCCCTTCCCTTCCCTTCCCTTCCCTTCCCTTCCC